CCACAACACTGTCAAATAATTTACTAAGACTGTATTACTATTCTTCTTCTCTTCCTTCCTAGTATCTATCTCTTTCCACTTGTGACTATAACCATATTGCTTGTATCTTTCAATTTATAGTTTTGTTTACTAGTACGATTTGATAGTTTATTAGTAACCTTGATTATCACTATGTTGTCTCTTTTTATTCGTGACAAATGTATCTTATCTTTTTATGTACACTGAGAGCATCTGCACCAAAGACAAATTCCTTGTGTGTCCAATCACACTTGGCTAATAAAGAATTCTATTATATTCTATTTAAGAGGACAAAGTGTAAAACGGAGGTCCCCAACCCTTGGGCCGTGGATGGGCATGCCAGAAATCGGGCTGCGCAAACAAGCAAAGACCCTGTCAGATCTGCAAGGCTTTTCTTTTGGACTTCAGGCCTGCCACACTTTTTACTATTCATTTTCTATTGTGGGAAAATGGGAGAGAGGATTATACGGAATTGGATGATCTGTCACCATAACAACATTCTTCTTAGAAACTCAAGGTCATCCTTTGTCTCTGCACCTGGCCGGAACTGGGTGGCCTCTGCCTTCGTGGCAGTGGGAGATTGCACCATGTGATGAACTTGTGGGTGATGGGGCAGGATCTGGAACTTTCAACTGGGTGCGAAAACCTGGAAGCTTTCAATACAATACATTACAATAGCAGAATTGGAAGGAACCTCTGAGGTCTTCCAGTCCAACCTGCTGCCTAGGCAGGAAACTCTTTCAGATTCGGGTTTTCCCAAATGTGCCAACATGGCTCTCTTAATAAATTGGAACTTTGAGGACTCTTTTGTCTCGGACTCTGAGATGCAAGTAGCACTCGGGTCCACGGAAAAACCTCTCTCCATGGAACTAATCCCTGGTACCCAAAAGGTTGGGGCTGTTGATTTAAACACAGCGGCAAACCAGTTGCACTTGCCTGTGGTACGACGTCTTGCAGAAATGTGACAACACTTTCCATGTAGGACTGCTCCCTGGAAAGGAAAGATGAATATCCATAAAAAACAATGGTTATTATATACATACATAAATGTCCATGGTTAAGATAACAGGTTAAGCAGCATCAGGCACATCACAGAATGGGACTGAGAAACAGTAACCCAAAGAAATGAAGGGCATAAGATGACAAAAAAAAAGATAGGCAACATTGGAAGAAGTTAGATTTAAAATTGCATTTTTTTTCTGAACGCTACAGATCCCCCCCCCAAAAAAAAGTTGGCTTTGATACTTTTATTATCAGAATTCACTAGAACATAACATGAACAACTATGAACAATTTTGTAAAAATAAATGTGCCTACAAATTGCTAGAAGAAGAAAAACTGACTTCAAAAGTTAGAGAGGGTTTCTAAGAAAAATGACAGCCTTTAAAATGGTGAGAATTAAGACTTGAGATTAATTATAACAGCTCATAGATGCTACAACTGCTTTGAACTCTGGGTTGTATCAGACAAAGCAATTCCAAAGTGGATATCGAAATAACCTACTACCAAAAACTTCATTCCGTCACTCACACAGGTAGCATGTTTAGCAAACTTCAACAGCAGACACATTTAAGTATCATCTTCCATTTGGAACTCTAGGTCAGTGTTTCTCAACCTTGTCAACTTGAAGATGTCCGGACNAAAGCAGTGTTTCTCAACCTTGGCAACTTGAAGATGTCTGGACTTCAACTCCCAGAATTCCCCAGCCAGCGAATGCTGGCTGGGGAATTCTGGGATTTGAAGTCCGGATATCTTCAAGTTGCCAAGGTTGAGAAACACTGATCTAAAGGTACAACTAGTCGCTGTGTTTTTTTTTTAAATATGGTTTACAGCTTAGATTTGCTACTTAGCAGAAAGCCTGTATTCATTTTTATGAATGTAAAAAGGTTGCCCAAGAGAGAAGGACTCTTGGGAAAGTGTAATAAGTAGCAGATACTGTATATCAATAAGCCCCAGAATGGTTTGTAAGATTTATTCTACATTGACTGATTCTCAACTAATCCTTCCTCCTTGCCATGTTTAATATATGCCCTCCAAGAAAAGCAAGGTAATTGTTTCCTAAGATCAAAAGTTATTATTTTATTATTATTTTCAGTCTTCTAACAACTGTCCTTTAAACAAGCCCACAAATGAGTTCAAAAGAATCCTTCAGGCGCATAGACATACCTGGCCAGCAGGGGGCCACAGTATGTTTTGATAACCCAAAAATCTGAAACTGGCATAACTGTGTCAATTATAAACTCAAATGTATACAGGTATACCCTCTACATACGGCCACAACATTTCTGTTGGTAAATGAAGCAGTTGTTAAGTGAGTTTTGCCCCATTTTATGAGCTGTCCTGCCATGGTTGTTAAGTGAATAGGACGTTGGTACTTACCTGATATGCCTCTTCTCATGGTGGGGGAGGAGTATCCAGGATGGGTTGACCTTGGACTGAGTCAGATAAGCTCTTGGTATACACCCCTGGTCCACCAGGCACCGCCCAGTTATCGGCGAAGAACTCTATCCGACCCGTTGTGCCATCCACTCCAGACCTTTGTTATGCTTTTAAACTTTTTATTGGGTTATAACTTAAACGTATTAGTGCAACATCCATCATAACACATGTTATATTATCATGTGGGGTCTGGATACTCGTCCCCCACTATGAGAAGAGGCGTATCTGGTAAGGGCCAACGCTCTTTCTCCATAGTGAGGGGAGGAGTATCCAGGATACTGGGGAGCGGGGGAGTGCTCCAGCGCTGCTGGAGCCTCCGTGGCAGGGCTTGCCTTTGGAAGGCTTGTGCCCTTTGTCTCCTGCTTGCCCAGCAGATTTCCTTTTCTGAGTGATACTTGTCTCACTCAGAGGCCTGGGCAGCGTGCCGCTCCCAAGGGGGTTTTTGGCAGACCTTTTCGCAGCTCAGGGAGCTGTCCAATTCGCTTGCGGCTGCTGCTGTAGGGAAACGAATTATTCCTTTTCCTTTCTTTAAAATTCTTCCAAATTATCGGAGATCCAGGATGGAGATCCAGATCCAGTTGAGGGACTGAGTCGATAACTGGGCGGTGCCTAGTGGACCAGGGGCGTATACCAAGAGCTTACCTGACTCAGTCCAATCAACGAGAAGATAAGGTCAACCCATCCTGGATACTCCTCCCCTCACTATGGAGAACACTGCATTTGTTAAATTAGTAACAGTTGTTACATGAATCTGGCTTCCCCATTGTCTTTGCTTGTTAGAAAATCACAAAAGGTGATTTCATGACCCCAGAACACTGCAACCGTCATAAGTATGAGTCAGTTGCCAAAAGCGTCTGAACTTTGATCATGTACCATGGTGAAGCTGCAATGGTCATAAATGTGAAAACGATCATAAGTCACTTTTTTCAGTGCCGTTGTAACTTCAAATGGTTACTAAACAAACCATTCTTAAGTCAAGGACTATATACATATGGTTGTCTCCTTTCTACCCCAGCCCCTGCTGTTCTATCTCAAACTCCAAGAGCAGCTAGGTATTAAAAGAAAAAGTAGAATTTGTCGCATACAGAGAGAGAAAGGATTTTTTTTTGTTTTTTTGAAGAACCCCTATTTTCAGACACTTCCAGTGTCTCCATCCTCCCTATCCCAAGAGCACCTCTAGTAGTATCTCTCTCTGACTCCCCACCCTATCAAATGTTCTTGTAGATGTTCCTTCAACTCTTACATTTTTGCTTTTTCACTACCATTTGCTGTTAAATTAGTAGATAAACCCATTGACATTATTATTATCCGCACTGTAGAATTAACATACACTACAAAAGGTGGGACAGACGATCTTTCAACCCCATTCTTTCCTAATACTATAACACAGCGGTCCCCAAATCATGGGCCGTAGACCAACATCGGGCCGCAGAATGCCAGAAACTGGGCCACGCAAAGCCCCACCTGTGGGATGCAAGTAGCACACAAAACTATGGCCCATCCGGTCCACTGAAAAACTTCTCTCCACAGAACCGGTCCCTGGTGCCCAAAAGGTTGGGGGCCGCTACTATAATAGGTTAACTGACAAAGTGTTGCCTAAATCATTGTTTGGATTGATCAATAAAATGAAGGCAAAAGGTATCAGCTTCTTATTCTGCTGGCCTGATATAAATAAAAAACGTAGCCACTCAAGTAGTAATTAAAAAGCGGTTAAGAGTGCAGCGTGCCAAACCACACCATTAGTTATCAATGGTCAATGTCCACCGATGGCTGTGTTCTCAGAGCACACTGACCCACAAATTAATCATGTGGTTAGGGTATAGTTAACATGTAAATCCAGACAACTGAGTCAGTTACCCCTAGCCAAGTATGTCAACACAGGACCTGTTTGCTCAGTCCTAACTTATGAAATAATTAGCCAGATTCACACATCAATCAGGCTGCTTGGCAGCATATACTATTCCAATACATTTGGTGTCTCGTGGGTATTGCAATTGTGGAGGGGAAAGATGGCATTGAGGAAGAATAGTCATTTTGTTATTCATTGATCTGATTAAAGTAAATCAAAATAGTGGCCTTTTAGAGTTTGCAGGACACAGTAGCTGGGTTTGCGTGAGATAATGAACCTCAAACTAGCCAACTGGCTTTTACCTAAAATGCCATGGCTTAGTTTACAGTTCAATGTATTTTGCAAACTTCAAAATTGGTTCATTTGACTAGACCTTCGTTAAATTATCCATGGTTAGGAAGGTTGTGCAAATACATTCTATATTCCATGTCATATTCCTGGTTAATTTGAATATACTAATTTTAATATTCAGTCATGTTATTTTATTTTTGATATTATCAAGTGATGTACAGAGGTCATTACACTCATTCTCAACATAAAAAACAGTCTCCTCAATCACTCCTTATTCAAACACATATATATTACATGTAATAGCCCTTTCAATTCATCCTTGTCTCTATCTTACACAAAAACCAATCTCTGGTCTCATACATTACACCAAAGCGTAATATTAATGGAAAATAATATTTGTAGCTCAGAGTTGAACTGTGGGGTCTTTATTGTTCTCTGAGCTGGGTTATTTTCCTGCAGCATTTTATTACCCAACTAGGTAACATCAGGGGCGGGTTGCCGGCGTTACTGCCAGTTTGCTTTGCATGCTCTTTGGGCGCATGCACAGTTGCCTGTAAATAGTTCTGCACATGCACAGAACATTTAAAAAGGATGAAAAGACATGCTGGCAACAGCAGTGGCAATTGAGGAACCGGTTCGGAGATGTGGCCAGCCTGGGTCGCTGCCGGTTCTGCGGCCCAGGCCAACATACCACTACTGGTTCACCCGAACCGGTGCGAACTGGTAGCAACTCACCTCTGAGTAACATCAGCAGTGCTAAAAGAGAGTGGAATTTGCTCTTATTATGTTATAGCCCTGATGATGTTACCTAGTAATGAAACTTCTGCAAGAAAACCATCAAGCTCAGAAAACATCAAGAACCCCAAAACCATAGAATTACTTGTTTGATTCTACTATACGGTACCTTTATACAACATGCTTCGGCACGATTGATCAATCACCGATAGCTGACTGATTTTACAATATCATGCTAAACTGTAAATAAACTAAGCATATCACATCTTAGTCCCTTGTTGTCGTCTATAGTTTATGTGCATTTTCTAATCAGACTCCTGTAACAATTCTAGGTAAATTCAATATACAGGTAGTCCTTGACTTACAATCATTTGTTTAGTGACCGTTTAAACATTATAACAGCACTGAAAAAAGCGACTCATGCAAGTTTTCCACACTTACAACATTCCCATGGTCACGTGATCAAAATTTACCTAGAATTGTTA